CAAACTTTTAGAGGTTCCCGAATTTAAAATCTAATGAGAACTGCCTGTATGTGTTCATAGTATATGGAGAATGAAAAATTATGTCCGTTGATCTAATTAAGAATTAGGATTCTCTGTCTTCCAGATCTCTGGTTTATTTTGCTCATCTATTTTTATAGTTGATAGAGTACATAGAATGGTGTGGGAGGAGGTGGGGAGAAGAGAGAATTATTTATGCAACCTCATGAGATGGCAAGTGCTCTTTTTCCTAAAATAATGAATACAAACAGAAGCATTTTTGTTCTTTTGACAGTTTGAGAACAGGAGTATTTGTGGATAAGAGCTATATGTTAATTGCCATGACATGTTTTTGAAAATTAATTAATCATGAAACTGTGACAGTTATTTTTTAACCAGATTAAAAAATGTTATTATTTGTAAAGCACTTAAATACATAATTTGTGAATATACTTGCATCTAAATAAAGGGTTCAGCCAGGTATGGCGGTGCTCACCTGTAATCCCAGCAACTCCAGAGGATTACAGTTCGAGGTCAGCTTTAGCAATTTATCAAGCCATTTTTGTTTTGAAAACAAAACAAAACAAACAAAAAAGGGCTAAGGATGTGGCTTAGTGAATAAGCACTCCTGGGTTCAAATTCTAGTACAAAATAAACAAACAGTTACAGATATTCTTTTTCCAGCTGGGTCTGGTGGCATTCGCCTATAATTCTAGTGACTAGGGAGGCTGAGTCAGGAGGATCACAAGTTAAGGCCAGCCTAGGCAACTTGGCAAGATCTTGTCTCAAAATAAATAATAAAAAGTTCTGGGAATGTAGCTCAGTATAAAGCAATCCTGTGTTCAATCCCCAGTACCAACAAAAAACAAACAACAAAAAAACCGATTTCCAATCATGAAAAAGAAATTGATGAAGCTAATGATTTTTTTAAAACCATATCCCTGAACTTTGCATTAAAACATGAAATAAATTTGTATGCTAAGAAGAAGTGGTGTTCTACAGTTCAGTGTGATGAGATAAGGGGTAGGTATGCTAAAACCTAAGCTGAAAAGTCTTATAACAATTTGCTGAACAGGGTAGTTTATCCTCAATTTTCAGAAACATTTTCAGTGACAAAAGAAAATTATATAAGAAATGTAGTCTGGCGTGCCTTATAAACAATATCCTTTTATTCTGAATACAATAGCTTTGGAATATTGTTTGCTAAACAATTATTTCTTTTTTAGACAAAGCTTGGGTTGCCTCTTGGCTTGCTTTCTTTCAATGCATTTACTCATGCTTAAAATAGTCTTTGGGGCTAAAGAATGTAACTCACCAGGGAAATATGACTAATACAGCATATCGGATAGGAAAGCTCTAAGCTCAGAAGTTTTTGTTTTGTTTTGTTTTTCCCCAAGAAGCAACTGGTGATTTTTTTTTTTATTATTTTCAAGTGAACAGTATTAGTTTCCTTTGGAAATGGCTAATTTATACTTCATTTAGTTTTACGGATCACCTATTCCGTTCAGGACCAGTGGACTCCTTGTTAAATAAGTAAATGACTACCACTTTTTGTTAAAATGTAGGCCTCAATGTCCATTGAAGAACTGGACATTTATAATCAACAAAATTAATCGAGACAGATATCTTACAACCCTAACGAAAATTAGCTCAGAATGGATCACATGCCTAAATGTAAAACACAGACCTATAAAACTCTTGGTCATTGACTTTTTAGATTCAGAAGTTTCTGAACAGAGTGTGTTTTAGAAATTGAGGAAGGAGAAATTATAATAGAAAATTGAAATTTAGATACTGAAAGTATTAATCCCTGCAATTATTTAATATCTATTTTAAGTGTTTTGTTTTGGTGTTAAGTATGTACTCTACCACTGAGCTACACACCTCCTTTCCCAACTCCTTGATATTGGGTTTTGGGGGGGTTTCGGTTTTGTTTGTTTGTTTTTGGTGCTAGGGATTGAACCCACAAGTGCCTTACAACTGAGTTTTTTCTCCTGCCCTTTTAAATTTTTTTTTAGTTTAAGTTGCTAATGGTTTCACAAAATTGCAGAAACTGGCCTCAAACTTGGGATTCTCCTGCCTCAACCTCTGGAATCACTGGTAATACAGGCATGTGCCACTGTGTCTAGCCTGGTATCAATTTATATCCCAAACTGTCAAAAAGTTTTTGCAAACTCATCAAATGCATCCTTCCACAAGCCCACTGAAGGAGACTTAGCTGTTCCTTCGCTTCCTTGAAAAATATCATGGAAACATTCACAGAGGAAACTCTATACGGCACCTGCTTGAGGACTCTAAGGTCCACGTAGAAAGGGCCCTAGGGTCCAGTGTTGGACTCCAGATTTCTTTGTGGATGTGAGGTGGGTGGAAGTATGGGGCTTATCCGAAGGGAATCCATTTGTACATTTTCTTCTCATGACCTGAGAAAGCCATTTATTCTCTCTCTGCTGAGAGAGAGTAACTTCACTTTGTGTCTCTGTTTAGTGAGAGTAATATTACTTCAGTGTTATAAGGGGGAAAAACCATGTCTATGTGAAAGTTTTTGAGCCATCTTTTAAATGGTGATGCTGCGATGACTGAGTGTGGACGGTTAACAGGAGCATGAGGGGATCACTTTCTTTCTCCGAGGTACTTCCTCAGCACCCAGAGGAGGAAAGCATTGTATCAGGAATACCTAGGGAGTTTTCAAATTCCCCAAGCCCCACAGCCAAATATCCTATTCCCAGCCCAGGGGTATAGATGGGTAATAATATCTGTATTGTGGAGAATCTTCCTAGAACAATAGACTCCAAGTTGTTTTTGTTTTTTGGTTTTTTTTATCACCTACATAGCTGTGTGTATGTGAAAGCTGAGCATAGTGACATGCATGTGAGTTATATATTTTATTCATGGATAAATATTAATGTTGTATTCATTTTACAGCATATAAAATCTAAAAAAGCCAGGTGACATTTTTAAAATATTTTCAACACTATAAAAATTCTCTCGCTCTTAAGATTAATTTTTAGTGAGAACAACGTAATTTTTGATATTTTAGAAAATTTTGTTTTAATATTCATTTTTAAAGCCTCGCTCTAAGTTTTGCACATTTAAAAAAAAATTTTTTTAGTTATACATGGACACAATGTCTTCATTTTGTTTATTTATTTTTATACGGTGCTGAAGACTGAACCCAGTTCCTCACATGTGCAAGGCAAGTGCTCTGCCAATGAACCATCACCCCAGCCTAAGTTTTGCACATTTTTTATTCTCGGTTTTAAGGCTCTCATTGTTGAAAAATATACCTCACAAAGATTTGTAAATATGAAAGGAAGAATAGTATCACTGGCCACATGTAGGAAATCAGCATACTATTCTCGAACCATCCCCCTGGCTTTATGAAAGTTTTAGTTCACTTTCAGATGGCAAAATTTTATTTTTCCTGAAAACTTCAAAGGATTCTGGAAGATGTTTGCATTTTTAAACCTTTAACAAAGTATTCAAAACCCATTAACAAATGGGTTGAAACTCTCTGGCCATGTTTCTAACTGGGTTGAACACTTGTTTTTGAGTGTGCTGATGTGAGTTCTCATAAGTGACCCAGTCATATTGTTTTGGCAACCAGATCACACAAGTGGAAACATTTCCAAATATCTGTTTTTTGACCACTGTTTTCAAAGCTTTGGATTCTCTTAAAAAGCAGTTACTTTCTTACTTTAATTCTCACCTTTGACTCTGAAAGGAAGCTTAGGTGTTTATTTTTTTGCTGCTAGGTAGCATAGTGCCGAATGGCACCTCTGACCCCTGCCAAGATTCACCAATTTGTAAAGGAAAATCGCATGACTCATCTTTTAAATTAAACCACTTTTTAAAGGACTTGTGCTCTGTCTGCTTTCCTCTCAACCACACAGTCATTCTTAAAAGATAGCAAGTAATTTAGCAAATGCCAAAGCAAAGTTAGATTCATCTTTATTCTGATGCAGCTATAAAGTAAACTTCCTGTGCTGTGTAACTCATTCTCTTCTTGAATCTTGAAATATTGACCAGTGTTTTCTGTGCATCTGCCAATGAATATTTGCTGACAAAGGAATTCATGTGAATATGATTTCATGTTTTTTGTGCACCTTCAGCCATCTTGACCTCGGTAGGAATAACAAGTCTTTCATTAGTGGCATATGGGTTTTTGTTTGTTTATTTGTTTTTTGTTAGAGGGCATTTTGCTATTAATGAATCTAGCAAGAAGTTCCTGTCCTGTACATTAATCATAAAATTAATACAATTTTGTGAAGCACTAAATTTGATAGTTTAGTAATGCACAAGGTTGGTCGTTATGTTTGTCTTCAGGCCTTGAGTGATGAGATTTTGGATGACTTTCCCATTTCAACAGTTTCTGGCCTTCCTCAGCTAATACCTCGAGGCATAGTATACACTTGGGGATAGTTTATCAGTAATAAAAATGGATGGAAGCCCATGTTTTAAAATAAGTCTTCCTATTTATTTCAACTGGTTTTGAACAATTCTTGTCCTATCTTATGACACCTTCCCCTCATAGCTAAACTGATGGAAAGAACGCACGGGGGAGGGGAGAGGGGAGAGGGGAAAGGGGGAGGGGTCAACTCTGCCTTGGCTCTGGAAGGTCTTTGTTAACTGCTGCTTGTTTATAGTAGTAACTTCAGACTGTGGTTTCTTTGCAGGCATCCTTTTAAGCACTTGTTTGTTTTGTGAGGGTTAATTATAACTTAGTTCAAACCAGATGGTCTGATCTGTGAATCCACTTAACTGGGCACATTTAAACCTCAGTCATTTGCAGTATGTTGGACAAGAACAGTGCACAGGACATGGGAAAGGCCCAGCATGTCCCCTGCCAACCCCTCCAAGTTATGGGATTCCTACCATTTCCTCAGGATTCCTCCCTTGTAGGAGGCAGCTCATGATTGTTTCACATAGGGACTACTGAGGGCATATGTCAAACTGTCTAATCAGTTTTATAAAGATTATTCTTTTGTTTTTTTAAATTTTTTTAACATCAGACAGGTATGTGCCAAAACTTGGAAACAAGGTTTAGAGAAGGCATATTGCACACAACATTGCAAACACCCAATCATCATGCTTATGAGCCAGGAAAATCTAAAGGTTATTCTTTTTTCTTTTTTTTTTTTTTAATCATAGATGAATACAATACCTTTATTTTATTTATTTTTGTGCAGTGCTGAGGATAGAACCCAGTGCCTCACATGTATGAGGCAACAAACAGAGCCCCAGCCCCAGCCCCCTAAAGATTATTCTTTTAGATTCAAAATAAATATAAATGGAAATTGTACTGTCTCCTCCCAGAGAGCATGCACCCTAGCTGGAGCTCTTCCTTAGAGGTAGCTTGTGCCTTTGCCTCACATACTCCTTGGGTGTTTTGGTTTTTCTGTCCACCATTATTATGAAAATAACAATCAATATAGAATTTAAAAGTACAGAAGTACCCAATTGAAGGTGAGCTTCAACTCCACCTCAGATTCTCAAACCCACTTCTCCAGCTCTGTCTGTGCTTTCTGTAAGTTGCATGGACAAATATATGAATGTGTAACCTCTGTAAGTAAGTAGATAGATAGGTAGGGGATCTGGGAGGGTAGCTCAGTGATAGGACACGTACTTAGCACATGCTTCAATCTTCAGTGCCAAAAGAAAAAAAAAAAAAAAGAAAAGATGGAAAGCAAATTAAACACATCTATATCTTGTTTTTTCACTTTACACTCTTTCTTTGAGCACTTTTCATTTTAGTTCACACAGACATATAATTATTTGCCCTGGTGTTTACTGCTGTATCTCGAACTGATGTGCGTGTGCCCAGGCTGCAGATGCAGTTATTGCAGCAGAGAGCAGTGGCTGGAGGCTCAGGTCCCAGGGGTTAGCGTGTAGATTTCATATATTCCTGTGCTCAGCTGGTGCTCCACCCAGCCTGCTCTGTGCCTGACCTCTCCAAACCTGAAGTCTCTTGGGTCTGGGTCTCAAGAAATCAACACCCTGTCTTCCGTGGAAGGGCTGGGGTGGTTGACCACAGGCACTGCCATGGTCTGTGTCCTACCTAGACTCCAGCTGGGGAGACTGCTGAAGTCGGCAGTGTGCCAGCCAACCAGGCACATCCATCGGAAATGCCTCTGTGAGAGCCAGGCATCAAGTGGCCACTGCATGGAGCTGGCAGCTTCCTCTCCTCTCTTATCAGTTAGAAATCCTCTACTTAGTTTCTGCCTTTTAAAAATTATTGAAATTTCTCCTCTTCTGCTGTCTGCTCTGTAGTTGTTCTTGCCATGGTTGTGTGTGTCTTTTTTTTCCCCCTTTGTTTTGTTTTGTCTTGTTTTCCGTCTCTAACTTCCTCTTGTCATTTTAGCATGGTTTCTGGAAGGGAAAGAGATAAAAATGCATGGTCAATTCATCACTTAAAACAGGAATCCGGGAAGGCTGCATAAACGACATAATGGTAACCTTCCTCACATTGTTCTCTTAGAACAGATCTTAGGCAGTGAAACTGGCTGCTCTTCTGTTCTGTGCTCAGTGTGTGTGTGTGTGTGTGTGTGTGTGTGAGAGAGAGAGAGAGAGAGAGAGAGAGAGAGAGAGAGAGAGAGTGGGGTGTGGGGACAATGTCTAGCTCTGACTGAATCAGGAATTCAGTGTTTCCCTTCTGGAACCTTAATATAGGTTCTGACTATGAAGTCTGCTGAAGAAATCCTTGTTTTAAAAATGAAGAACTGTGCACCTCTGTCCCTTCTCCACTGTCTTGCAGGTCTTATTAATGATGTATGAAAGTGATTGGTTTCTAAAGGCATGGCTATCTTCCATCACTTACTTTTTTGAGCAGATGCGGCTCTCTGGGGCACCAGGGTGGGAGGGGACAACTGTGTGACATGCTAAACTCTACCTCATCTTCAGCACAACCAGCCAGACACCACTCCCAGAGGGCTCTGAGAGTTGGTGGTCCCCATCAGAATTGCTGGGGGCCCTGCATCTTCCATTTGTATCTGAGAAACTTCCTCTGAGGGCCAGGAGCTGGCGTCTAGTGGTGGCTGAAACCCTAGAATGAATAAAGTCATCCAGGCAGAGGCTATAGGGAGTGGTAGGAACTGTGCCCAAGTAGGGGGTGCACGCTGCAGCCGCTCAGCAACAGATGAGTAATGCCAAGCTCCGTGCCAGCTCATCCCTGTCCATTTTTAAAAGCCAGAAATCCAAATTTGTATGTAAATTTTCTCAAGTCTGAATTGTGGCAATTAATTCATGCATTTTCTAAATCACTGTCTGGGCCAAACAGCACATCACCTGAGATTTCTTCTCAAACCCATTTTTAAAAATATAAAGTGAGATCAGGAGAGCCAGGGCTTGTTGCTCGAGGTCAGGCAGTGAACAAGTGGTAGGACCAGCACCCAGTCACAGTCTCCTGATTCTAAGCCTGGGGTCCTTTAGAATAGATCATATTGTAAGTGCTTGTTTTCATTGGCAAAGTCTTTTCTGGATATTTTTAAAATCTAATATTACCTCCATAATAGCTCATACATTTTTGGCCTTAGTTCAGTTAGTTTCATGTCAGGTTCTGTGGTTTATGTGAGGTGAAATTTTAATATGACTCCATTCTTTGGATGAGGTTGGCAGTGTGCCAGCCAACCAGGCACATCCTTGGGAAGTGTTTGATCAAGTTTGAAGATACCATGTTGGCGGATGATAGAGTTTGTATCTCTATTATAAATTAAAGTAAGATTTGAAGCCAGAGTTTAAATTTGCAATGTAAGTTATAATAGACATTTTAATTTTAGTTAAGGAGCCACTAATCAAAAGACTGACTTAGGGTTGGGGATGTAGCTCAGTTGGTAGAGTGCCCTGTCTCACATGTGCAAGGCCTGGGTTCAGTCCCTAGCTACACACACACGCACACACACACACACATACACACACACACATACACACACACACAAAAGCAACAACAACAACAAAAAAATGACTTAATGATTCTTGTTCAACAGAAAAACAAACAAAAAAAATTCCTTACGTGGATTAATTTAGATTAAGGAGTTTACAGGTAACCGGAAGGGCAGACCTGTGGTTACATTCACATCTCGGCTTAGCTTTGCTGTCAGGACAATTTTATTTGGCTTATCAAAATAAAGCATTTATTTTCTGCATGTTGGAAGGTAACTCACATTTCAGAAGAAGGTTTTAATTAAAATGTACTCGATCTTTATTCAGTCTTATCTGCAAACACAAAGACATTAACTTTTCCAAAAAGATCTTAGAAAATGAATATTGATGAAGCAGCTGTAGAAAGTTGACCTCCTGCCCTAAGACAAATAAAAGTACATTTCACAAACATTTTCAGCCGCCTGTTTTTTTCCCTGCCTCTATAATTGACTCTAATTTTCTCTCTCTGAAACCTCAGAACTTTCAAATTGCTACTCAACTTGCAGTGTAAGTTATAATAGGAGCCACTCCATTCCAAGTATGGGCTACATGCTTGAGTCATACTGAGAATTCATCTTTAAAGTTCTTAATTATTTGAACCCATATTCATTACAACATTATAAAAATTATTTCCAAATGATGCTCAAGTCAGTGGAGTTCTTTTTCCCTAATATAGAATTTGAAGTTACTAATAGTTTTCAAATAAAAAGAAAAAAAAACTCTGATAAAAAAAATTTTAGGTAGTTTTATCTATCACCAAACTTACTAAGAAAAAATTAGTAGAAAAATGTAAAGGAATATTATGCTCTTTCTTTTCTTCTCTCTCTTTCATACTTTCTTCAGGAGATGGGATCTCTCTGTTGCCCAGGTTAGTCTCCAACTCCCTGGCTCAAGCTGGCAAAAAGGATGGTCTTTGTTCTAAAGATGTTCTCATTGTTACCACTTCACATCAGAAACATGAACTTCGGCACACACCTAGTGGTGATATCCACATTTGAGAGAGAGAGAGAGAGAGAGAGAGAGAGAGATTTTTCTTCTGTCTACTCCCAGGTTTTGGGAGGAGTGGTCATAGTTGTCACACCCAAGGAGACTAATTCTGTGTCAACCAGGCAGCCTGGCTAATTGCTGTTTACAATTATAAGCTATTACATTTCTTCTCTGTCCTCATCAGGCCTCCCTCCCCCCAGGAATAGTGAGTGGAGAGGCCTCTGAAGAAGAGTATGGCAAGAGAGTGTACAATCCTGATGGCTTTTCTAAGTCAAACTGTGGAAAATATTTTCTTAGAAATGGGGCTGAAGTGGTTTTGTATAACTCAGGGACAACTCAGTGACTTCAGTTCTAAAACCTCCAGCTATGATGGATTCTTGCATCCTGCAAGTACCCTGAACCCCTATCTTCTAGTAGTCATGATTTTAGTTTTCTGCTTATCTACTTCCTAAAGTGAATGAACCCCAAAGCAGAAAAATCTTTGAAGTTAGTGATTAGTGGGAGGAATCCTTATATGGTTTATCAACCATGGAGCCACAAAGAATTTGGGGATTTTTTTTTTCCCCTCTGGTTGTATACAAAGTATGTTCACACCAATTTGTGTCTTCATACCTGTACTTGGATAATAATGATCAACACATTCCACCAGCATTAATTACCCCATGCCCCCTCCCTTTCCCTTCAACCCCTCTGCCCTATCTAGAGTTCGTCTATTCCTCCCATGCTCCCTCTCCCTATCCCACTATGATTCAGCCTCCTTATATCAAAGAAAACATTCAGCATTTAGTTTTTTGGGATTGGCTAACTTCACTTAGCATTATCTTCTCTAACTCCATCCATTTACCTGCAAATGCCATGATTTTATTCTCTTTTATTGCTGAGTAATATTCCATTGTATATATATGCCACAACTTTTAATCCATTCATCTATTGAAGGGCATCTAGGTTGGTTCCACAGTTTTGCTATTGTGAATTGTGCTGCTAAAAACATTGATGTGGCTGCTTCCCTATAGTATGCTGTTTTTAAGTCCTTTGGGTATAGACCAAGGAGAGGGATAGCTGCGTCAAATGGTGGTTCCATTCCCAATTTTCCAAGAAATCTCCATACTGCTTTCTATATTGGCTGGACCAATTTGCAGTCCCACCAGCAGTGTATGAGTGTGCCCTTTCCCCCCATATTCTCGCCAACTCTTATTGTTGTTTGT